CATCACAGGCAAGCCCTACGTGCCCTTGTCAGAAACAGAGGAAGTGCGCCTGAGCCAGAGCTTGCTGGAGCTGTGGCGGCGGCGAGGGCCAGTGTGGCAGGAAGCCCCCCAGCTACCTGTCGATCCGCACCGGGACACTATCCTCAATGCCATTGAGCAACACCCCGTGGTGGTCATCTCGGGGGACACGGGCTGCGGGAAGACCACCCGCATCCCCCAGCTGCTGCTGGAGCGCTATGTGACTGAGGGCCGCGGGGCCCGGTGCAACGTGATCATCACCCAGCCTCGCCGGATCTCCGCCGTGTCGGTGGCGCAGCGTGTCAGCCACGAACTGGGCCCTTCCCTGCGCCGGAACGTGGGCTTCCAGGTGCGCCTGGAGAGCAAACCCCCGGCCCGAGGCGGGGCGCTGCTCTTCTGCACCGTGGGCATCCTGCTGCGGAAGCTGCAGAGCAACCCCAGCCTGGAGGGTGTGAGTCACGTCATCGTGGACGAGGTCCACGAGCGGGACGTGAACACGGACTTCCTGTTGATTCTGCTCAAGGGCCTGCAGCGGCTCAACCCGGCCCTGCGGCTGGTGCTCATGAGCGCTACAGGCGATAACGAGCGCTTCTCCCGCTACTTCGGTGGCTGCCCGGTCATCAAGGTGCCCGGTTTCATGTATCCGGTCAAAGAGCACTACCTGGAGGACATCCTGGCCAAACTCGGCAAACACCAGTACCCTCACCGGCACCGGCACCATGAGGTGAGACACACCCCAACTCCTTTGTAGCCGGGTCAGCTCCCCCTCTCCCCCCTTCCCCCTCCCCCCTCCCCCCAAGCCTGTTGGATCGATACGAGACAGGATCGCTCGTGCCTGTGTGGCAAACACGAGCTGGAGTTGACATTGGCATAAGTGGCTCCGCCTCCCTCATGTCACCAAGACCATGCCCCGTGCACACCCCTCACCCCAGCCCTGTGGCCTCTCTTTCCCCCACCCCCGCCCCCTGCCCCCCGCCACCCCAGTCTGAGGATGAATGTGCATTGGATTTGGACCTCGTGACTGATCTGGTTCTGCACATCGATGCCCGTGGGGAACCAGGTGGGTGTCTCCCCCTCCTTCCCCTGCCATGCCCCTCCATGCCCGCCCGCCCGAGCTGCTGGCTCATGACTGCGGGGCCTTTTTTCAGGTGGGATCCTGTGCTTCCTGCCGGGTTGGCAGGAGATCAAAGGAGTACAGCAACGCCTCCAGGAGGCCCTGGGCATGCACGAGAGCAAGTACCTCATCCTGCCAGGTGAGCACCTTTAGGCCTGGAGAGATGTACGTACCCTCCCCCCCCACCCATGGACTTGACCTATCAGATGGGTCAAACAAGAACTGCCCCGCCCCTAACCATTGTGTGTCTTGCTGCCCACCAGTGCACTCCAACATCCCCATGATGGACCAGAAGGCCATATTCCAGCAGCCTCCCGTTGGGGTTCGCAAGATCGTCTTGGCCACCAACATCGCCGAGACGTCCATCACGGTCAATGACATCGTGCATGTGGTGGACAGCGGCCTGCACAAGGAGGAGCGCTACGACCTCAAGACCAAGGTGGCCCCCGGTTCCCATCGGCCTGGGAATGGCTGCTTGAGTTAAAGGCCACCCTGGTGTCGTGGGATCTGCGTCCTTGGTCCCAGGCAGGGAGGGTGGGCAGAGACTATTGAGGGGTGAAGCCGGGGAAACTGAGGAACATCCTGTGAGCTCTGTAGCTTTCCCTTTCCTGTAGGTGTCCTGCCTAGAGACAGTGTGGGTATCAAGAGCCAATGTGATCCAGCGCCGGGGCCGGGCAGGCCGCTGCCAGTCAGGTTTCGCCTATCACCTGTTCCCTCGGAGCCGGCTGGAGAAAATGGTTCCTTTCCAAGTGCCAGAGATCCTGCGCACGCCCCTGGAGAACCTGGTGCTGCAAGCCAAGATCCACATGCCCGAGAAGACGGTGCGGCGGAGGCAGGGCTAAGCTCTAGGAGAGGTGAGGGGGGAAGGGTGGGGGTGAGTACTCATCACAGCTTTCTGCCCCCCCACCCCCCACTCCTCCCAGGCAGTGGAGTTCCTCTCCAAGGCTGTGGACAGTCCGAACATCAAGGCTGTGGACGAAGCCGTGATCTTGCTCCAGGAGATTGGTGCGTGGGGCCGGGCTGTGGAGCGCCTTCCTGCTGTCCTGTCCTCATGGGCAGGGTGGGAGCTGACGGCTGAGCTGTTTGTATGGCAGGGGTGCTGGACCAGCGGGAGTACCTGACCACCCTGGGGCAGCGCCTGGCCCACATTTCTACCGACCCCCGGCTGGCCAAGGCCATCGTGCTGGCCGCCATCTTCCGGTGCCTGCACCCCCTGCTGGTGGTGGTTTCCTGCCTCACGCGGGACCCCTTCAGCAGCAGCCTGCAGAACCGGGCGGAAGTGGACAAGGTCAGCCTCCCATCCCACCCCCGAAAGCCCTTGGCTCATCCTGTCTGTCCCAAGGGGGAGGGCTCCAGCCCCTCGTCGTGACCGGAGCCGGTCGCCCTCTCCTCGCAGGTAAAGGCGCTTTTGAGCCACGACAGCGGCAGCGACCACCTGGCCTTCGTGCGGGCCGTGGCCGGCTGGGAGGAGGTGCTGCGCTGGCAGGACCGCACTTCCCGCGAGAACTACCTGGAGGAGAACCTGCTCTATGCGCCCAGCCTGCGCTTCATCCACGGTCAGCACTGGCCCAGCCCCGCCCCCTCCCCAACAGACCTACCTGGGGGAACGGGGGGGGGGGGGGGGGGGGGGGGGCTCTGCTCATGCTGCGCTGCCTCCCCCAGGGCTCATCAAGCAGTTCTCGGAGAACATCTACGAGGCGTTCCTGGTGGGGAAGCCGTCGGACTGCACGCTGCCCTCCGCCCAGTGCAACGAGTACAGCGAGGAGGAGGAGCTGGTGAAGGGCGTGCTCATGGCCGGCCTCTACCCCAACCTCATCCAGGTGTTCTGTCCGCCAGCGGGGACTGGATGGCGTCCCAGCCCTACACCCCCCCATCGCCTTCCCCCAACTGGTTGGCTCCTTGCTCAACCCTTTCCTCCCCTCCCCTCCCCAGGTGCGGCAGGGCAAGGTGACCCGGCAGGGCAAGTTCAAGCCCAACAGCGTCACGTACAGGACCAAATCCGGCAACATCTTGCTGCATAAGTCCACCATCAACAGGTGAGGGGGTGGGAAATGAGGGCCGGATGGGGCAGGGCAGCCAGCTGGGGTGGCCCTCACCCAGCCCTGTCCCCCCGATTCCAGGGAGGCCACGCGGCTACGGAGCCGGTGGCTCACGTATTTCATGGCGGTCAAGTCCAACGGCAGCGTGTTCGTGCGCGACTCGTCGCAGGTGCACCCGCTCGCCGTGCTGCTCCTGACCGACGGCGACGTGCACATCCGTGGTGGGTACCTGCCCTCCCCCCCCCCCATGTGCCCGGCGCTGCCCTCGTCCCCCGTTCACCCCCCCCCTCCGCTGTTGTTCCTTCCTTCCTTGTCCAGATGACGGGCGCCGCGCCACCATCTCGCTGAGCGACAGCGACCTGCTGCGCCTGGAAGGCGACTCGCGCACCGTGCGTCTGCTGCGGGAGCTGCGGCGCGCGCTGGGCCGCATGGTGGAGCGGAGCCTGCGCAGCGAGCTGGCCGCGCTGCCGCCCATGGTGCAGCAGGAGCACGGGCAGCTGCTCGCGCTGCTGGCCGAGCTGCTGCGGGGACCCTGCGGCAGCTTCGACGTGCGCAAGACGGCCGATGACTGAGCCCCCCCTCTGCCGGGCGGGGGGCTGTGTACAGAGTGCAAATGTTTATTTAAAATAAAGTTCTATTTATCCCTTGTGAGCATTGCTGTCCGCTCGGGGCTCCTCTCAGCACCATCTGGACCCTAGTCCAGGTGAAGAAGAAAGAGGCCAGGATGGATAGAATATCGAGGTGCTGGTGTGTGCATCCTGGGCTAGTTGTGGCTTCAGGCCAAGGTGGCAGAGTAGTCTGGCACCCCGTCTTCTTCCCCAGCCATGACCAACTAGGCCCCATTGCTCGGCCAGCCCCCGTGTTGACAGCTCCACAGCAAGTGTGGAGCGTCCCAGACTCTTCCCCCTCGCAACTGCGCAGTTGTACCCCACCAATGTGGGGGTGGGGAGCAGGAAGACTTAGGTGGCCAGCGGAAGGGCACGGACGCCACAGAAGCCACAGAGGACCGGGGAGTGGTGGGACATCAGGCAGCTTTATTTGACTTCAAATCAGTACAACAGAATCACAGACACAGGTAATAATGGCCAAGCCATGAGCAAATCCAATCAAGAGGCATGTCCCACCCCCCCCCCACCCAAATGGTAGTCAAAGTCGTACACATCACACGGGGCCTGTGGTCCCCATTTACTAAGGCCAGACCAACCTTCTCGAGTTCCCTGGCCCGAGAACACTCACCACTCAACGCGGTTCACCTAGAGAGCTCTACCCACGCCTCCTCGCTCTACCCAGCCCTCGGCCGAAAGGACTCAGAATCTGCTGGACACTGCCAGCCTGCCGATCAACACCAAGGCAGGTGGCAGGCACCATGAGGTCCCTTTTCACCTTGCCTCTTCCTTTGCTGATAAACACTGGTAACCCAAGGCCCCTGGCCCTGGCATTGTGCAGCTGCTCCCCTCCCCCCCCATCCCCTGCCCAGCTCAGGCTTCTGCAAATCTAGTATGCGTTTAGCCATAGGGTGTCAAGCCTCAACAATGAAATCACTGCCTCACCAAACCGAGGACCCTCAGGCTGAGGAAATCCTATCTCAACCTAAAGCCAACACCTCCACCTTTCTTTCTCAAGGGCCAGGGCGTGCAGGAAGCAGAGGTGGAGGCTTGCAAGGCCCCAGGTCTGGGCAAGTCTGCGCAGCAGAAAATGCCCCTGGCGGGAGCCCTCAGAAAAACCCCTAGGCCATTTCACTACAAACTTGGATTTTAATCCTTTATTAGAAACCATGCAAACTTTTCATACAAAAATACAAGTGCAATAAAAATCTTTTTTTTTGGGGGGGGGGGGGGGGGAGTTGATAAAATTCCCGGGACTTTTTCATCATCGCAGCCACCCTACGAGCGGAACTAGTTACAGATGGGCACCCTCCACGGGCTAGCCTCCCCCTGCCCCCCAACTCCCCAGTCCTCCAGTCAGGCCACAGGGGAGATGTGGGGTGGGCCTTCCATCACACCTCTTACTTATTCTGTTGATTTCTACACCTGATTCCCCGGTGGCCACAGGAGTTCTGGACCTCGCGGGCACCCGTGGAGACTGGGATTGCGTGCCTAAGCCCTGCAGCATTGGGCCTAAAGGAGTTCTGACCCCCCACTGGCCCTTTCCTGTTGACTGTCAGATCCCGAGGAATGAGACAGATTAAGATGCCCAAACCAGCCTGTTGGGTTAGAGAAGCAGCATCCACACCAAATGCCAACACAAAGCAGTCCATACTGATCAGCTCTAGTCTGCCCCTTGAAGAGGCCACAGCCCACCTCATTCCCCCCCCTGGCCCACAGCACCTCCAGGGCTCCAAGCTGCCCAGAGCAGGGGGCAGCCTCCCAACACAGCCTCCACAAACTGGAGGTTCAGGACCTTCCCTCCCTCCTCTCCTTTTATCACCTACTGAGGACTCTCATTTAGACATGGCTTCACCCTGCAAACTACATCAGCAGTTTATAGGTTACTAGGGGGAAGTAGATATATATATATAAAGAATAAAACAAGGGGTGTGGGGGGCGGGGAGTGACAGCAGCTTGGTAGGTATGCTAAGCAGCGGAACAGGCAACACTGGCCCCTAACTAACTTGGGGCAGGGCAGCGAGAGGGCCTGGCCCACTTTGCACGGTGGCTGGTGCTGTGGGGTCAGAGGCAGAAGCTTCGTGGGCTGGGGGAGGGGGAGGAGGAATAATGTCAGTTTCTTTGGGGTTTGGTCCAAAAAAACCAAACAGAAAGAGGTTGGAATCCAGTTCTCCCTCCTGGAACCCACGGGATTCCCAGGCCCTCTCCATTTGCCTTCTCCACAGCAAGTTAAGATGCGCAGTGATGGAAGAGGAGCTAAGTTGGGAGCTGGGCCCTGGCAGGAAGTGGCAGGGGGCGGGGACAAGGGCGGGGGCGGGGCTACTGCTGCCCTGAGCAAGCGAGGCGAGGAGGGAAGGAAGGGGACCTAGAAGGCTCACAAGTCTAGTGGACAGCCCGGGGAAGGGAGCCGAGGGCCCGGGAGACAATGTCAGCCCCGTGGTCGGTGCGCGCCCTGGCGTTTGCCCGGAAGGTCAGCCTGTACGTCTCAATCTGTAGTGACACGGGAGGAGGGGAAGGGAAAGGGGAATGGGGAAGACGAGAGGGAAGACGAGACCAGAATGTCATCGTTAGATGCCTGGAAAATAAAAGGTGATTTTTGTTAAAATAAAAATAAATAAAAAAGGTAGGCCACACTTTTTAGGCAATCAACAAAGGCCTTTCCAAGTGGCGGCCAGTGGCGGGGCCCCTGGCTTGTGGCCTTTTAGGCCCAGCCCAGCCACTTACTTGTCTCCTGTATCTGGCTGTCCAAGGTCTGGGCCTCCCTTTGGTCACCACCCCCTGAGAAGGGGGTGGAGCTGCTGAGGCCACTGGCGGAAGTAGAGGTGCCAGCTTCCGGCACGGCCTCACAGATGGCAGGCTCCTCCCCAGCGGGAGGGCCCGGACACGGAGGGGCCTGGCTGCCACCGCCCTCAGTCTACAATGAAACAGTGGGAGGGGGGAGACAAATGCAGGGTCAGTTGGGGAGGGAGTGGAATGGGTGATGGTGGGGAGGTTCACACATGGCTCCCCCCACCCCTGGCCACCGCCCCCTGTCACCTGGAGAAAACAAACAGTGGTTCTGATGGTAGATCATCAACTAAGCCCAAGACTAGCCCCAGCCTGCACGTGGCTGGGTCGTGTAGGTTCTGCGGACCATCCCTGACCTGTGCGCACAAATACACGAGTCCACGCCCTATATAGCATGGGCTTAGAAAGGGACCTGGAAACTCACAGGGCACCCCGCTCCGGCTCATCACAGTCTGGTCTCAAATATCCCTCGCACACCAGAGGCGGCTGCTGCGCTGGCTACCACTAGCAGACCCCAGGAGGGAAAGAGGGGGCAGAAGGATGTTCCAAGGAGGTAAGACCTGCAGAGCTTTAGGGTGACATCTGGAGGACACTATGCACAAAGTGAAGCCAGACTAGGAAAGAGCACCAGCAGGAGGTCTCTGGCATCCCAGAATGCCCAACAGTTTGGTCAGTGAGTAGGAAAGGAGACAGACAAGTGTATTTAAAAAAACAAAACAAAACTAAGAAATCAGGTGCCTGTGGCTCACACCTAGCTACTCAGGAGGCTGAGATCTGAGGATTGTGGTTCAAAGCCAGCCGGGCAGGGAAGTCCATGAGACTCTTATCTCCAATAAACCACTAGAAAAAACCAGGAGTGGCACTGTGGTTCAAGTGGTAGGGCACTCGCCTTGAGCTGAAGAGTGCAGGGACAGTGCCTAGGCCCAGAGTTCAAGCCCCATGACTAATCAAAAAACAGTGGTAGAGTGCTAGCTTTGAGCAAAAGAGCTCAGGGACAGTGCCCAGGCCCTGAGTTCAAGCCCCAGGACAGGCACATGCAAGAAAGGGGAAGTAATATAAATAAAGCTGGGAAGTTGGGGGGTGGGGGAGAGCCCAGGTGTTAATCCTGGCCTGTATTCACCTTGCCATATGGCCTTGAACCAGAGATCAAACCTGTCTCCCCATGAGCTGACTCCAGAATGGCTGCCTCACAAGGTGTAGGGACATGAACCGAGCGCTTGGCCAAGGCAAGAATCAGGATAGGACAAGAGGCAGGGCTGAGGGGTGGCCAACAGTGGGTGAGCCTCCCCCACAGGGTGTTGTCCACCTTTGACCAGCTCTAAGAGGCTGCCCCATGGGTCTTCCCGCCCACCATGATATGGAACACAGGACAGACAGTATCCTGGGGCACACGGAGTCTCACAGTACTGTGGAAGGAGGGAGGGAGGAAGGGAGGACAGAGGAGAGGGAAGGAAAGGAGAAGAGGTCCAGCCAATGCCAACCATGGGAGAACTCTGCCACCAGGACTCTCCCCCCAGAGCCTAGCCACATGTGGGTCCAGAGGCCACACCAGACCTGCCACAGCTGGCTGGTGGAATCATGGCATCCTGATGGAGGATAGAGTGCCGCGGCCGAGCACACGTGCCCAGCACACACAACATCCGTCCGTGGCGCCAAAAATCAGAGAGAGGACAGGGCTGGGAAGGTGGCTCAGTGGTAGAGTGCTTGCCTCGCAGGCATGAGGCCCTGGGTTTGATGGCTCAGCACCACAAAAGCAGGGAAAAAAAAAAAAAACCGGAAGTGGTGCTGTGGCTCAAGTGGTAGAGCGCTAGGCTTGAGCTGAAGAGCTGAGGGACAGCGCCCAGGCCCAGAGTTCAAGCCCCACGACTGACAAAAAAAAAACAAAACAGGGACATTTTTCACAAGGGAAAAGGGAAGGGAAGAGAAAAGGAAAGGAAAAAAAAAAGAGAGAGAGAAACAATGGCATGTTGTGCCCATGCCCAGAAAGGAGCATGACACGGAGCAGGTACACACAACCCCCCCCTTCCACGGGCTAGGACTGCCTGCCTTGTCCTCGGCGCCCTGGCTCAGTCCCTAAGGGGCATTACAAGGCAGGCTGTAACGCTCAGAAGCAACATCTGGCCAGCAGCTGGCACAGGTGACTGGGCTGAGTCTCTTCACCTCTTCTGCCTCGCTCAGGACTGAGGAATGATGGGAAAACAGAAATGGTGGGTGAAGTGTGACCCCTGAAGAGACTGAGTAGCGGTGACAGGCACCCCCCTGCCCCCAGATCCTAGCTGCGTAGTGTCCCCACCACCCCCACCCCGGCCATGTCCTCTTGGTGACACAAGTCATACCTTCACAGCACCCCCTGCAGGGAGGTGGCCTACGTTATCGAGAGATCCCACTTTGGCCTGGGCCTTCTCTTTGAAGTTTAACTTCTGACTCTCAATCTTGACATCTCCTCCACCTGGAGCCAAAAAGGAAACAAACAAACAGACTGATTTGGTCCTGAAAATGGTCCAGAGATATCCGTGGCATGGCAGGAGCTAGGAACGGGACCCCGAGCTTCGCGGGAACACAGTCCCTGGGCGAGCATGTGCCTCTCCCTGAGATGTGGGCCAATGCTGTCAGCCATGTGGTACACACACACACACCGAGAGCAGAGTATGAATATCGGCACAGGAACAGCGAGGTGTTTGTGGCAGCCTTTGGGAGCTGTCCCTCCTCCACTTGACAGGGGTTGAAAACTGTGTGGCCCACTTTACCCCGCTAGGCAGAGATACCTCCAAATATTTGGAGCCTAAAAGGCTGCCCAGCCAGAGAAGCGCCGGGTGGGGCTGTGTCCCTGGGGCTGAGTCACTCACCAGGCTTGTGTCTGATGTTGGCCCTGGACCCGCACTTGGAGGAGACCTTGGAGATGTCTACTTTCTTGTTCTGAATCTGCACCTACACAGAAGAACAGGAAGCAATCAGGTCTCGCAAGTCTATGATTGGTGGAGCTGGCCTGGAATTTTACCATTGGAGAGGCTGAGGGCTGGCCTGGTATGTAAAGGGACTCTGTCTATATCAACAGCAAGGGGAGGGAGGGAGGGAGGAAGCAAGAGAGACAGAAAAATAAAAACGTTATGGCGAGAAAGGGCCAAATCGATTCAACCTTTTGAAATCCTCCTCCTACTTAATGTTTAATTATTGCTTTATTATTATCTTTCGTGCCCAGGCTGGCTTTGAACCATGATCCTCAGATCTCAGATCCCTGAGTAGCTAGGGTGACAGGCATGAGCCACCAAGCACCCGGCTCTGTTTATTATTTTGTTTTGATTTGGTTTGGCCAGTCCCGGGTGCTGTCCCTGAGCTTTTGTGTTCAAAGCTAATGCTCTCTACCACTTAAGCCACAGGTCCACTTCTGGCTCACAGACTTTCCTTCCCTGGCTGGCTTTGAACCATGACTCTCAGAGCTCAGGTCTCAGCCTCCTGAGTAGCTAGGCATAAGCCACTGGCCCCCAGCTCATTACTTAATCGATTTATTTAAGTTAGTTGTGGGGCTTGAACTCTGGGCCTGGGCACTGTCCCTCAACTCTTCAGTTCAAAGCTCTACCACTTGAGCCACAGTGCCACTTCCAGCTTTTTTTATGTGATGCTGAGGAATCGAACCCAGGGCCCCATGCATGTGAGGCAAGCACTCTACCACTGAGCCACCTTCCCAGCCCAATTATTTTTATTTCTGAGAGTAGGGAGATATTGATGTGCTATTCCCACTCATGCATATAGTGTACTCACTTTGAACAAATTCTCTCCACCAGATTCCCCATTCTTCCCTTCATGCTCCCCACTTCTCCACCTTACCCCCCATGCTAGTTTTTCCAATGGCAGGTACTTCCCATATTACTTAAAGAGCTGGAGGCGTGGCTTGGTTGGAAGTGCGTCAGCCAATGAGCAAATTGTTAGGTACTAAGTCTGAGTTCTGGTCTCCAATAACAACACCACCCTGACCCTGTTTTTTTACGTCTGACCTCACTGCCCTGTAGACCACGCCACTATTCCCCACCTCTGCCCCACCAGCCTCTCCATCCACACCCCACATAGGCATTTTACTGCTGAACATGCATGCCAAAAGCCACCGTCGCGGCTTTCCTGGAAGGAACTTGAAATCGGATTCATCATTAGCTCCCTGTCTGATGATGGGAGTAACATTTTGGTATATTTCCTTCTAGTTCTTTTTTTTGGCCAGTCCTGGGCTTGAACTCAGGGCCTGGGCACTGTCCCTGAGCTTCTTTTGCAAAGCTAGCACTCTACCACTTGAGCCACAGCGTCACTTCTGGCTTTTTCTATGTATGTGGTACTGAGGAAGCAAACCCAGGGCTTCGTGCACACTGGGCAAGCACTCTACCACTAAGCCACCTTCCCAGCCTTTTCCCCTGTGGCTGCCACCTAGAGTCCTGATGACTTCCTGTGGCAAATCAGCCTCTCATCTATAATGCCCTATAGAACTTTAATCCTATTCCTAATTTTCAATGTTACTTTCCTATTTTTCACCTCTATCAACGTGGCAGGATAAAGATCTCTATGGCTACAGGTGTTTGTGCCAGAGGTTTAGTCATTTGGGTAAAGACTGAGACTATATATTCAGGTTTTTTGCTTTGTCGGTCGTGGGTCTTGGACTCTGGGCCTGGGCGCTGTCCCTCAGCTCTTCAGCTCAAGGTGAGTGCTCTACCACTTGAGCCCACAGTGCCACTTCTGGTTTTCTGGTGGTTTACTGGAGATAAGAGTCTCACAGTCTTTCCTACCTGGGCTGGCTTTGAACCATGATCCTCAGATCTCAGCCTTCTGAGTTGCTAGGATGACAGGCGTGAGCCACGGGCGTCCAGCTCTATATTCGGGTTTTGTTTGGTGTTTTCCGTTGAATGCCAAAATACTTTCCAGAAATGCCTCCACTGGTGCCTCTCCCAGCAAACCCACCATATCCTTCAGATTTGAGCTGAGTGCTGGTGGCTCACGCCTATCATCCTAGCTACTCAGGAGGCTGAGGATCTGAGGACTGCAGTTCAAAGCCAACCTGGGCAGGAAAGTCTGTGAAACTCTTGTCTTCAAAAAACCACTAGAAAACTAGAAGTGGTGCCGTGGCTCAAGTGGTAGAGCACTAGCCTTGAGCTGAAGAGATGAGGGACAGAGCCCAGGCCCAGGGTTCAAGCCCCATAACCAACAAAAAATTAAATAAATAAAAGAAAAATAGGTTATAATATTGCTGAAGTGGTAGAGTGCCAACCAAGCAAGCAAGCCCTGAATTCAGGCTCAGATCTTTCAGGTTTTTCTACCCAAGCTTGCTTTGAAACTCCATCCTCAGTTCTCAGCCTTCTGAGTAGTTAGAATTATAGGCATGAGCCACTGGCCCCTGGCTTGAACTGTCTTACTGATCACTCCAAGAATCAATCACCAAAAAGCTGGAAGTACAGCTGTGGCTCAAAGTGTTAGCCGTGAGTGAAAAAGCTATGGGACAAGCATCCAGGCCCTGAGTTCAGCCCCAATATGGACATACACACGCACAGCTCTTAAATACTGTACAAAATACAGCAATGAATTTTCTCTGTCACATTCACAAGTGGCCCAATACCCTCAGAATCCCTGCTCCCGCCCACCCCATGTCCCCCCAGGTCAAGAACTCAAGAGGAAAACTGCACCAGTGCCTACCTGCTGGCCCTACCAGGCTGGCCCTTCAAAGTCCGACCCCATTCCCAGATTGGCTAATGTGTGACCAATCCCAGCTCGGTACAGAGGAGGCCACGCCTTCTCAGAGCAGGAATTGTTGCTGGAGAGGAGCTGATGGGGAAGGCAGTATAAGCAGGGTAGAGGAGGAGAAATCACTCAAGGGCGGCTGCTCCTGATGGTAGAATGGCAGGAGGGATCTGCAGGCTGGACAGATGTCCCTATGTACCCTGGGGAACTGGGGCACAGAGTGGGAAAAAGAGAAGGCCAAGTGGAACCGGATAACCCAGTTGAATACAGGGAGAGGGAAGCAAGTGAAAGAGGGAACTCAAGAGAAAACTAGGTCTTCTCTCAGCCACAAAACTGGGGGGCAGTCATGAGGGCAGGGGCTGCGTGGCCAGCCCTGGAACATGTATGCACCTGGATCAGGCCTGGCCAATGTCACAGGGGTAGGTAGGAAATGCACAGGGGGTTCTTGACTCACTAAATAACCATGATGAACTTTGCCCAGACCAAAGCCTCCCTGAGGATTGGAATCACCCCGGGGCCCGAACACAAATAGTACAACAGGTAACAGAAAAGCAGCAGCACCAAGAGAATAAAGTTTAGGTGGAAAGGAGGAAGGACAAAAAGGGAAGGAAAAGGGACTAAAAAGGTGGAACTAAAAAAAAAAGGGGGGGGAAATAATATGAATGCTGGTAGCTTACACCTCCAACCTAAAATAGTAGGGAGGCTAAGATTGGGAGGCTGGCAGTCTGAGGCTATCCTCGGCAGAAAAGTGAATGAGAGGGCTGGGAAGGTGGCTTAGTGGTAGGGTGTTTGCCCAGCACGCATGAAGCCCTGGGTTCGATTCCTCAGCACCACATACACAGAAAAAAACCAGAAGTGGCACTGTGGCTCAAGTGGTAGAGAGCTAGCCTTGAGCAAAAAAAGCTCAGGGACAGTGCCCAGGCCCTGAGTTCAAACCCCAGGACTGGCACAGGAATAAGAAAAAAGTGAATGAGATTCCCCCTTAACAGAACTGGATGCCGTAGCACATGCCTAGGATCCTAGCTGTGATAGAAAGCTCACCTGGCCTGGTCATATCCCAGCATATGCCCAGGCAAGAAGTGGGACCCTATCGCAGAAATAACCAGCAAAGCTGGGCACTGGTGGCTCATGCCTGTGAGTCCTAGCTATCCTAAAAGATAGTGGTTCAAAACCAGCCTTTCTGGGGCTGGCTCAGTGGTAGAGCGCTTGCCTTGCATGCATGAGGCCCTTGATTCGATTCCTCAGCACCACATAAGCAAAAAGAAAAAAACCAGAAGTGGCATTATGGCTCAAGTGGTAGAGCCCTTGCCTTGAGCTGAAGAGCTGAGGGACAGCGCCCAGGCCCAGAGTTCAGGCTCCACGGCCAGACCAAAAACAAACAAACAGACAAACAAACAAAAAAAACAGCCTTCCCTCCCCCACCCCACCAAAAAAAAAAAAGGCTGAGAGATTCTCTTCTCCAATGAATTAGCAAAATATGGGACTGGAGGTGTGGCTCAAGTGGTAGCATGCCAATCAAATTCACCACCCTGAATTCAGAGCCCTGAACTCAAGCCCTGGTACCAGCACAAAAACAAACGGAAAGCAAGCTGAGCCAAAAACAGAGCTGGACGTATGACTAAGCAGTCGGAGGCCTCTACTTCACAACTCAGCATTGCCCAAAAAAAGAGAAAAGGCAAGCCGGGCACCAGTGGCTCACGCCTGTAATCCAAACGACTTAGAAGGTTGAGATCTGAGGATCACAGTTCAAAGCCAGCCAGGGCAGGAAAGACCGTGAGACTCCTATCTCCAATAAACCACCAGAAAACCAGAAGTGGCGCTGTGGCTCAAGTGGTAGAGCGCTCGCCTTGAGCTGAAGAGCTGAGGGACAACGCCCAGGCCCAGAGTTCAAGCCCCACAACTAACAAAAAAAGGAGGGGGAGGGGGAGAGAAGATAGGGAATGGAATGGATAATAGAGTGGAGGAAAAAAGAACAAGAAGGAACAGTAATGAAGACAAGGGCGAGAGGAGAGGCAAGGCAGGGGAAGGCTGACAAATTGACTGACACTATAATGACGAAGATCAAGGGGGCGGATGGCGGATGTGGGTCCTGCGAGAGCAGGACTCGCCAAGGAGCCGTTGCGCACAGCCCAGGCAAGGACAGACGACATGTAACAGGTTTTAGGTCCTTGGACCAGGTCTTAAGACAAGCTGCAGGGGGAAAAAATGGACAAGAAGGGATCACATGGGTGTCACACACTGTGTATTGTATAGGGACTCCCTAGGAACTTCTTCTAGTTCCCCCCTATACTCAGGGAGAGAATGTTCCAGCTCAGGCAGGCACAGGTCACTGGGGACCTATCCCATGGGCAAAGGCAAAGGCAGCCCTTTGCCCAGAGGTTTTTTTTTGTCCATCGTGGGGCTTGAACGCTGGGCTTGGGCGCTGTCCCTCAGCTCTTCAGCTCAAGGCTCCACTTCTGGTTTTCTGGTGGTTTATTGGAGATAAAGAGTCTCACAGACTTTCCTGCCTGGGCTGGCTTTGAACCATGATCCTCAGATCTCAGCCTCCTGAGTAGCTAGGATGACAGACATGAGCCACCTCTGCCTGGCGTGTTTTTTTTTTTTTCCTTTAACCAAAATGGGCTATGCCTCAGATGCCAATTGGCCAGAAAATGGATACTTACATTACCACCTCCAGGGACATGCTTAATATTGTCCTTGGAACCACACTTGGACTGAATATGGCTGTAGTTCACTTTTTTGGAGACTATCTGGACCTGGAGTGTTAAGAGAACAGAAAAAAAAAAAAAAAAAAAACAACAAAACAAAACAAAAAAAGAAACAAAAACACACAACCAAGGGCTGGTTAGAACTGACGCAGGGTAAGCAGCGATCACAATGAGCAACGAAGAGTGTGGTTAAACTTCTGCCCCCATCTTTGGCAGAACTGGAGGTGGAAAAGCACAGGAAAAGGCATTTGGAGGAAAAAAAAAAAAAAAAGAGCAAGAAAGGGAGTGTAAAGGTGAACAAATAACAGGACAGAAGCTAGTGTTACACAGCCATCCAGGGTCATCACGCCCCTAGGGGATTGGACTGCCCTTTCCAAGGCTTCTGCCCAAACACAGCCCTCTTTCTGCCCTGCCCTTTCCCAACACTCCAATCTGGGCACAGTTTCCCTGGCTCTTCTCTTGGAAGCTCCCGATCCTCTGGACCTGTCTTCATCTGGGGCTTGGCATTGCTGCACCTAGACTCATCCTTGAAAACAAAGGCTGCTCTGAGAAGATCTGGCAAGCAAGGCCCAGAGATCTCACAGGGACAGGAAGGCTGTTATTCCTCATTTGGACACTAGGGGAAGCATAAGCCACAGCAGTTTCCACACCGCCCAGCTGCCAAGGACGGCATAAAGGTTTGAGGCTCACCTTCTTTTATGCTATGTTATGCCATTTTATTTTATTTATTAGTACTTTTGGAAACAGGGTCTTGCTATGTAGCCAAGGCTGGCCTTCAACTTGAATTTTTTGTTTTTTGAATGCTGGTACTAGGGCTTCTACTCAGGGCCAGGGCACTGTCCACTCAAAGCTAGCATTCTACGACTTTAGCCACAGTTCCCCTTCTGGTTTTTTGCTGACTGATTAAAGACAGGAGTTTCAGGGACTGTCCGGTCCAGGCTGGCTTTGAACTGAGAGCTTCAGACCTCAGCCTCCTGAGGAGCTAAGATTTACAGACATGAGCTATCAGCTCCTGGCTTAAGACTTGTTTTTTTGATTCGTGGGTAAAGTAACTCCCAAATCCTCCAGATCACTTAATTCTATGCCCTGTGAGTTTCACGTGCAAAGACAATAGGCTCAAAGGGGGCTGCACTGATACAGTTTGGGGGTGCCATAAGGATACTTTACTGCATGTGAATGCCTCCCTGTGGAACTGAGTAATACAAAGGCCCTAACTGTGGGACTCTGGAGTGAAGAATTTTTCTTGGGCCTTCCCCTGACTTCAGAGCTGGAAGTTCTTTAGAAAATGATGTAACAACCAAACTACCGAGTCCACAGAATATAGGAATCTACCCTATGGAACTCCAAACTGATAAACCCATTGTGTGCCTTTCTCCATTTCTTTGCCTTTTTGACAACTTGAACCATGAATAATTGTTACCACACCACTTTCTGGTTAAGTTTTTTTTTTTTTTTTTTTGATTGGTCATGGGGCCTGAACTCTGGGCCTGGGAACTATCCCTCAGCTCTTCAGCTTAAGGCTAGCACTCTACCACTTGAGCCACAGTGCCACGTCTGGCTTTTTCTGCTTATGCAGTGCTGAGGAATCGAACCCAGGGCCTCATGCATACGAGGCAAGCACTCTACCACTGAGCCATTTTCCCAGCCCCAAGCATTTCTTTGAATCAAGGACAAACACAAGATCCCTTGGTAGTGACCCCAGAAGCCACGATGCAGCTTGCTTCATGCTCTCTGACCCCCTTTGTAAAGAAGTTCCTTGGGCTAAGAGTTCCCATCCTGGAACCTAAGGGCTGAAGGTCAGGCTTCACTGATGGCCCTTGAGAAATCCACCTGTCTGGAGGAAGGAAGGTTTGCCACCAGCTTCCAGCATATGGAGGCAAAGGGGAAGGAATCGAGGGTTTCAGTTTGCCTCTGTCCTCCAGGAGAGATGTTACATTTACTATACTAAGTGAGCTCTCACCATAGGTGAGACCCTGGCTTTCAGTGAAGAGGTGACCTAGGGAACAGGTCAGACAAAGGCTATCTCCATATCCAGTAGCTTTGTAAGAGAAGTTTACTTCAAGTTAAGAGGCATGGCTACGTCTGATGAGGACAAACCCGGGGCGTGCTCTGTTCACGTGCATACCGGGTGATTTTCAAATCAAGGTCAGTCTGAAGGAAGTGACTCCAAAGTTTTTGAAGTTCCTTTATCCAGCTGAGTGACCAAAGGGTTAATGAGGCCTAACTCTTTTGTTAGCTTCCGGGGTTGGCACACCAAGTTTCTGATGGCTGATTCATCAGAGGAGAGAACATGGGGAAGAAGAACTAGAAACTAGTGATGGGTAAGAGCAAAAAGGAAGGAACAGATGGGAAAGCGACTCAGGCTGAAGAAAAATGTTTACCTCCCCAAAGGAAAGGCTATATAAAACTCACTTTGCCAGCAGGTGATTTCTGTGTGCTTTCAATGGGGATGGCTGTTTTAGTGGCTGCGTTTCCAGCTGTGGCAGCTGCCTCTGATTTTTTCTCTATTTTGGCCTGGATGGAGATAAAGGAAGGGCAAATTTCAAACCAAAAGGATGAGAGCCCAAAGGACAAGAAAGGAAGAAGGCACTGGAGAATGCAAATCTAGGCCAGGCCCCGACCCCAGCAGAAGGGGAAGCAGTTCCCCCATAAGTCTTTCACCCTCAAATAACTCCACTGTATTACCTCTAAGTCTTTTTAATATTCTTTACCTTTACTTGTCTATATAGTGTATACACACACACTCCAACACCACCACCACCCCCGCCACCCACCGCCACTCCCAAATAGACCAAGACAGAGATGACTGAGTAGAGGAATATAGGGGAAGCAACTGCAGGCCAGAATCAAGATAGGAAGACGAAAGAGATCAAAACACCATTTGTGAAGAAGAGATGCAGAGGAATTAGTGGTTCTCTTCCCTCTTCTCCCCCCCCTCCCCCGCTCTCCCCCCCCCCCCCCCCCGTGGTTATTTTCGAATCACAATTCTACTGTATTCTCAGACATCCAAATGCATGCCCATAGTCTCAGCCACAGTGAGTGGAAGTGCTGGTTCTCTTTAGGTATATTAGAACAGAAACAGCACGTTACTCAAGACCTCCTGGATTTTTGTATTATGAAAGCCTAAAATGAGAAAAACAGAAGTGTCATTTGTGGTGTTACCTGAGAGGTGGGCTGGGCACACCAGAGCCACCAATGCTTACCAAAAGCAACTCCTGGGGTCCTGATCTCAGGCCAATACCCGTTTATGAAGGTCTTTCCAACTGTGCCAGGATTCTGCCTTATTTTTGCCCTACCTCAATTGAGGTGACTGCAGTATCCTACCCTTGATGGTGGCTGTGGGGTGGAAGTGCTCTTATGGATACAGGAGAAGCCACCAGGGCCTTGAACTACTCCAGGCCCTTGAACCTTCCCAGATGGCCTTCTGTGATGGCTGTTAACAACTGACACACACTTCCAGAACCAATACAACCCAAATGTCCTTGAAAAAGCACTCACTGTGCTTTCACCCGCACTATCCTGCAGTGATCGTGCTTACCATCAAGTGAGGAGCTTGCAAGGGCAGCCCACTGTGGCCACCAGGACAACAACCCAATCCTCATCCCGACACACTCTACCCAAATCACAGCTATTAAGAGGCATTCTGCCTTCGACTTAGGCTCTCCTTCACTGCGTATGGCAAAAACCACCTTCTAAGACAGAATCAGCCTGGTGGTTGATTCTGGTGGCTCACGCCTGTAATCTCAGCTACTCAGGGGGCTGAGATCTAAGGATCGAGGTTCAAAGCCAGTCGGGGCAGGAAAGTCCGTGAGACTCTTATGTCCAATTAATCACCAGAAAATTGGAAATGGAGCTGTGGATCAAGTGGTACAGGGCTCCATTGAGCTGAAAAGCGGAGGAACAGTCACCAGGCCCAGAGTTCAAGCCCCATGACCAACAAAAAAAAAATAAAGATATACTCAGGATCTCTGAGGAGGGTTCCAAGGCCTAAGGAGGCTTCAGAGATATTGGGGTTCTTTCTTCATAGAAAGTATATAGAAAGGCTCATGCCTGTAATCCTTGCTTCTGAGGTGGCTGAGATCTAAGGATCACAGTTCAAAGCCAGGGGGCAGAGGAAAGTTCTTGAGATTCGAATCTCTAAGTAATCACAGAAAAAGCAGGAAGTGGTATTGTGGCTCAAGTGGTAGAATGCTAGCTTTGACAAAAGAAGCCCAGGGACAGCACACAGGCTGAGAGTTCAAGCCCCAGGACAAAAAAAAAAAAAAAAAAAGTATAAGAATCCATCTATCTTCAAATAAAAATGCCCCCCCCCAACATAAAGAACCAGGATCCCCTTGTTTGAGATGAGAAGATAAAGCACAGAATCTCAGTCAACTTGTTTAGGGGATCAAGGCCCACAGGGGAGACCAGGCTGTTCTTTGGGGGAGGATTAGATGTAGCAGGAGACAAATGGGGACCTGCATGCTGAGAACCCCTAAGCTCCCTGCACTCACCCGGCCTCCACCAGGCTGGTGCTTGATGTTTTCTGTAGAACCAACTTTGGAACGGACGTTCTTCAGATCCGGGACAGGAGAGGAGGCATTGGTGGTCAGCCGGCTCAGCCTGGGGGCAGAAGAGCTGGCCTTGGCAGCCGTGGGCTTCTTATCCAGCGAAGCAGTGGCAGAGGGCCGGGGAGGGGCGGAGGTGGGCTTCGCTCGTGGGGGGGCTGGGACAGTCGTCCCTGTAGGAGTGGCATTTCTCTTCGTGGAATTGGCTGAGGTACTCTTTGAATGACTCAAGTCAGCTGCCAAGCAGAATAAGAGGTAGCACAGGACGTCAAAGGGGAAAGAATGAGGGGGACATAAGACACCACCAGAAGAGGTGGGAGTTGAAGTTAGGGTTCCATGAGGAGTGATTGGGGGGTGGGGATTGGGGTATTACCTGGTACAGACTTTGAAGTCATCTTCTTAACATCTGTAGGTTTGCCCTCCGTCTTAAGGGCTGTGCAAAACAAATGAACATTATTGTGTTTAACAAAGCAACCTACTGAGTTGCTGAGATTTATCATTCCTTTGACAATACTGAATGTCCATGTTTGAGGGAGGGACTGAGCACATTTCTGACAGCCACAAAAACTGTGCTCTTATACAGCAACGGGTATTCACCCTTCTTCTCTTTACACTTTTTTGCTTTAGCAGTAGCTAATCATAAATACCCATGAGACTCAACTTCCTCGTTTATTTTTCCATTTTGCAGTGCTAGGGATTGAAGCCAGGGCTTGGACATGTGCTACCGAGTACTCTTACCACTGACCTAAACCCTGTAAACCCAGGAGCTTCATATTTGTTTGGGAGGTGGGGAGGAATCGAACCCAGGGCCTCATGCATGCAAGGCATGCGCTCTACCACTGAGCCACCTTCCCAGCCCCTTTCTTCCCTTTTTTGTTGGTGGGTCATGGATATTGAAGCCTGGACACTGTCCCTCAGCTCTTCAGCTCAAGGCTAGTACTCTTACCACTTGACCCACTGTGCCACTTCCAATTTTCTGGTGGTTCATTGGAGATAAAGAGTCTCAAGGACTTTCCTGCTTGGGCTGTCTTTGAACCAGGATCCTCAGATCTCAGCCTCCTGGGTAGCTAGGATAACAGGTGTGAGCCACCGGCACCAGGGCCTCAGCCACATTTCTTATCATAGACAGAAGTACTAGGACTTAAGGAGTCACTAGAACAGGAATATATGCAGCCTGCAAATTCATGGGACATTAATTAATTAAACACAAGCCATCACATAGCCACTGGGCAATGTACCGCACCTAAGGACTAGTGAAGGAGATCTTCACAGCAGTGGATGCTGGCTGGAGCTAGCCAGGCTTTGCTCCCATCTCTCCCCATTGGCTATACTCACTGGTGGGTCTCTTGGACAAGTGTGTGGGGGCGCTTCTACTGCTCTGCCCAGGGGAGACAAGAGTAGCAGATGATGTGGCTTTGGGGGCAGTCGAGGTATTCTTGGGTACAGATCTGAGGGCTGGAGCAGAGGTGGGCTTGGGTGGTAAGGTCCGTTTCTCAGGAATCTTTGCCTCTGCAGCAGGCTGGATAGGAAAGAAAGACGGCAGAAGGATACGTCAGCAATGGCTTCAGGAAACATGAAATTGGGGAGGATGGAGGGGGAAGGGGAGGAGAGACTGTGGGCCCAGCACTTAATGATAGGAAATTGCTTCGGCTCTCCTGACAAGAGCAAGAAACTGGACATATAAGTCGCTGTGTGATCTGAGTTTAGGAAATGCAGTCAAATATACTTAGTATGTGTGAATACTAGGGAAGTTTTGCACACCACAAACTACGTTTATCTTGGGACTGCAAATACTTGCCAAGGGTAAGACATACAAACCAGAAATTAAATATGTTCTGCTCAATTTTAGCTATTTGTTTTTCTTCCCTTTCCCTTTTTCCTCTACTTCTTGAGCCACACTGGCACTAGATTCACCACCCCCTCCCCTTATCCTCCCCCTCTCATTCCCTCTCTCTCCCTGACAATACTTAAGTTTCAACTCAGGGCCTCACAACCACTTAGCTTGCTTCCTTAACTGGCACTCTACCACCTTAAGCCATACCACCAGTCCTGCTTTTTGCTAACTATTTCAAAGACAAAAGAGTTCTCTCAGACTTTGCTGTGTGGTCTGGATGTGAGCTGCAATCCTCCAGGTCTTATCCGCCTGGGTAACTAGGACGACAGGCATGAACCACTGGCATGATTCGGCCGTGGAAGGTAATAGGTTACTGGCAAGATCTAGGAAAGAGGAGCTGAGCAGCAGCCCTAGCTTTCAGTATGTTGTGGGGCCAATAAGTCTCGAGGCCACTCTGAGCTTTCCTTATTTAGGAAGAGGAGAAAGTGACACTGTGTCACTAAGCCACAGATTTGATCATAAGTAACACTGTTAGGAAAGACAGGACGTGAAGTCTCTGATAAGGGGCAGGCCTATCCACCACAGGAATGAAAGACACTAGCATTGCAGCTGAGAAAGGAAAAGCAGAGAGGAAAATAAAACCTCCCAGGACTAATTTATGGCATTTTGGTCATTCTAGCTCCTCATATGGGGAGGCAGGGAGCCCCATCACTGGTGAGAAAGGAAAGCGTCAGTTTATCTTGATTTCTATGGAAAAGGGATGGAGACACTGCTTTAGTAAATATATGTGCTGTGTTAATTTAAGAGTAAAAAGCTGGAGCTAAATCAGAGAGGGGGGGGAGAGGGAGAGGGAGGAGAGGGAGGGAGAGAGAGAGAGAGAGAGAGAGAGAGTGTTTTGCCAGGTGCCAGGGGCTCAGATCTTCAATCCTAGCTACTGAGGAGGCTGAGAGGGTTGCAGGTCAAAGCCATCCAGAGCAGAAAGTCCATGAGACTCTTATCTCCAATGAACCACCAGAAAATAGGAAGTGGTGCTGTGACTCAAAGTGGCGGAGCGCTAGCCTTGAGCACAAAGAGGCTCAGAGATAGCACCCAGGCCCAGAGTTCAAACCCCACAACCAATAACAACAATAACAAAGGGTGTCTTACAGAAAGAAAAAAAGAAATAGAGGGCTAGTATCTAAGCAAACCAAGGGTAACTTTGCCAATACAGGGTAATGACTTTCCAAAAACAGAGGCCGTTAGTCTGAAAAACCTGCAATTCTTTTCAGGCAAACCTGAAATCAGAATCAGGGTAATCGGTTCTGCTACAACCTATGGGCTCCATCTCTGCTCTGAAATTTGAGAACCAAACCAAGCTTTTAATAATATTACATATGGTCCACTAAACCAACTATGCTTCGGGGACAGCACCTAGGCTCTGAGTTCAAGCCCTAGGACCAACAAAAAAAGAAAAAGAAAAAAAAAAGAGGGGCTGGGAAGATGGCTCAGTGGTAGAGTGCTTGCCTTGCACGCATGAGGCTCTGGGTTCGATTCCTCAGCACCCCAAAAGCAGGAAAAGCCGGAAGTGGCGCTATGGCTCACTAGGGTGCTAGCCATAAGCTGAAGAGCTGAGGGACAGCGCCTAGGCCCAGAGTTCAGGCCCCACTACCGACCAAAAAAGAAAGAGAAAGGAATAGATGAGGGAAAGGGGAAGTGGGCGGGATATTGCCTCCAGCTAGGACAGAAAAAAAGTGAAAACAATAAGTGTTTTTAAAGGGTTATGGCTGCTTTATTGGGTCCCCAAACTGATCAAAGCACTAACCTTCCTTTTCCCTTTGCCCTTATCAATTCTACCAGCCCAGCTCCACCATCAGAACCTATGTGACACTCAAAGGGAGGACTCTTGCCCTGGCATGGTGCTTAGTGATTGACTTACCTTTAGCTTCCCGTCTCTTGCAGGTAAGGTGGAAGGCCTGGCTGTGGCGGCTGCAGGGCGTTTGGGTGGGGTAGCTGGTGCTGAGCCTGAAGCAAGGCTCATGGGTTTTTTATTCAACCCACCAGAGGTGGTTAAAGATGACTGTTTAAGGAGAGAAGTGGGCTGGGATTTGACTTTCGATGTTGAAGTCTTGGTTGATGGTTGCTTATTTTTATTTTTATTTTTTTAAAGACCAACATCGAACACACAGACAATAAAAAAAAAAAAGACACAAATTAAAAAAAGTATAAGTTGCACAATTCAAAGTAAAATTATAAGCAATGAAGATCAAAGCAACTGAAAATTAGCATTCCTTTCTTCTGAGCTCAGGGACACCAGGATAGAGATAAATAAAGGACTTGCAGCAGTTTTTCTTCCTCTTTTCTTTTTGGTGCTGGGACTGAACTGGGGAAACATATGTGCTATGTACACTCTACCACTAAACTATGCTCCCAGCACTGTGAGCAACATCTCTTAGGATAGGGCCCCCAATGATAAGTTTCATATTTAAAACATTTAAGTCTAATAATAGCTTTACATTCTTAATTTTTGGTGGTTGCAATAATTCTATAAAGAAAACTATCAGCAGATGATCAAGCCATTATTACCTGACCCTTTCATGTTTTGTTTTGTTAGGGTTATTTTTGTTTTTGCTTAGCTGGTTGTAAAGCCTGAACTTAGGGCCTCTTTGTGCTCAAAACTAGCACTTTACTACTTGAGCCATAAAAAGCCACTTTGGCTTTTTATGAGTAGTTTATTGGAGATAAGAGTCTCATAGACTTCTCTGCCCAGGCTGGCTTTGAACCACGATCCTTAGATCTCAGTCTTCTGAGTAACTAGGATTAGAGGCATGAGCCACTGGTGCCTGACTCTGCTTTTTTTAAACAGGGTTTTGCTATGTTGCTCAAGCTCCAAAATGGCTGGTGTATTACAGGTATGTACCACCATGCCTTGCTTGTATTACTTGCATCTTGATCAAGCAAGATCACTATATCCTAAAGTGTGACATCTGCACTTTGCAATAAGCAAAACTAAGTGTCTGAAGCTATGATCCTTTAAAAATCTGTATTTCCTTTTCTCAAAGATTCAGATTACTTTCGTAATTGTACTTTTGCTTTGTTTCTTGAGGAGGAAGAAGAAATACGCTTTATGGAGCATTTTTACAGATGTATAAGATTACAGGATCAAAGGAAAATTCTTCACACATTGGACCTAGAGGAAAGACTCACAATATAGCTCAGAAAAAAAGAAACTATGTTCATGATTCAAGCAATAATAGCAAAAGATTATCTTTTAAAAAAAAAAAAAAAGATAACACAAGAAGTGAGCCACCATCCTAGCACCTACCTTTGTTTTCTTCTCTGGACTTGGTGGGAGCTCCTTATTTGGGGGGGTAGTGATGTCATTTCCAGTCACACTCACAGCAGCAGCCTTTACTTCTTCTGGCCTGGCTATTCCTAAAGGTGGGAGCAGGAATTATTCTAAACAAATGTGCTTTATACACATTTGGAAAAAGCAAGGCTTAGCAGAGGCAGACAACTAACAAGCACTTTGTTACAGAAAACACAAACATAAAATTCCATGCTGCTAAAAGGTGGACAGAAGGACCAAGTTCTTGCTACGATGGAGGGCAATTTTAGATTGCAGTGATTCTGGGAGCTTGGCTCTGTTATAACACAGTCTAAGTGGGATTTGCACTTGTGATCAAGGGAAAGAAATAGCCCTTAAAGCTTGGTTTCCCTTCCCTCGAGACCCATCAAAGAGACTCTGTCACCCAATCACTAGCTTCCAGAGCACACAGGGGGACAAAAACCTCTTCTACCAGTCAATCTTTTGGAACAAATGTTGCTGAGAGATGGGGTAAGAGCCAGATCATCATCCAATGTCCTCCCCTTACTTCCTTTCCCTGTAAAGAACCATTTTATGGAGAATGCAAGATTAACCTGCTCTAGTTCTAGCAGTGACCCAGATTTCCAACAAGGCTGAGATCTGTGGAACCAGACCCTGAGCCAGAAATACAGAAGCATAAACTGTTCTGGGTTGAGGGGCTACTCCAGATTTCAATAGAACTATGGCTGAAGGCACTAAATTATTGTGAAATGTGTAAACCTGAGTATTAGTAATTTCTAACTGGCTCAGAATCCAGAGCCACAAAATATGACTACATAAAAATACAATTAAGGCTGGAAAGGTGGCTTAGTGGTAGAGTGCTTGCTTAGCACGCATGAAGCCCTGGGTTCCATTCCTCAGTACCACATACACAGAAAAACAAAAGCCAGAAGGGGCGCTGTGACTCAACTGGTAGAGAACTAGCTTTGAACAAAAAAAAAATCTCAGGGACAGTGTGCCCAGGCCCTGAGTTCAAGCCCCAGGACTGGCTAAAATAAAAATTAATTAAAAAATAAAAAAGACAAGTATTTCAAAAAAGTTGAACTTGAAGACAGGTTACGTTAATTACTGCTACACATCAATAACTCTTACAAGACCAGCAATACAGGAGAAATGATCAAAAGAACCTTTTAAAAAGGGTCTAGGGGCTGAGAAAGTGGCTCAGTGGTAGAGCGCTTGCCTTGCATGCCTAAGGCCCTGAGTTCGATTCCTCAGCACCACATAAGCAAAAAAGAAAAAAAAAAGCCGGAAGTGGCGCTGTGGCTCAAGTGGTAGAGTGCTAGCCTTGAGCTGAAGAGCTGAGGGACAGTGCCCAAGCCCCATGACCAGACCCAAAAAAAAAAAAAAAAAAAGGGTCTAATCCTAAGTCTGTGCAAAGAAAATTAAAATGAGATTAAAATCCTATTTTTAACCTACCACATCGTCAAAGGTTCTCAACTATGTGAAAATAACCACAGTAGGAGGGGATGAAGATCCACTGTTAGAAGGTATTTGAACTGGGTCCACTGGCAGAGCAAATATAGTACAGGTCGACTCTGATAGATCACGCCTTGTAATCCTAGCTACTCAAGAGGTTGAGATCTGAGGATCACAATTCAAAGCCAGCCCAGGCCGGAAAATCTGTGAGGCTCTTATCTCCAATGAACCACTAGAAAACCAGAAGTGGAGCTGTGGCTCAAAGTGGTAGAGCTCTAATCTTGAACAAAAAGAGTTCAGGGACAGTTCAAGGCCCATGACTAAAAAAAAAATAATTACAGGTACAAATAAATTCTAGTTCAAATGTCCAATTTTGACAGTTTCCCATAGAGGAAACCTGCAAAGCTTTTTCAGAAGAGAAATGTTTCTAATAGCAAAAGAGTGAAAGCAACATTTTTTTTGGGGGGTGGGGAGGTAGTCCTGGGGCTTGAACTCAGGGCCTGGGCCCTCAAGGTTAGCACTCTACCACCTGAGCCACAGCACCATTTCCAGCTTTTTCTGTGTATGTGGTACTGAGGAACTGAACCTAGGACTTTCATGCATGTTAGACAAGCACTCTACCACTAAGCCACATTCTCAGCCCTGAAACCTTTAAAAGTTTGAGGCATGATTACTGAATCTCAGGAAGATATGTGGAAGATCTTATGTTCCTTTCACCCACTCATCCCCAATGTGGGCTTGCAGCAAAACCTTGAGGAAGCAATTAAGTCCAAAACTGGTACGAGCCACAGAGCTTAATCAAAACAAAAACTTTTTTGGGGGTGCTATTCTAGGGTTGGACTCTCAATTTGTTTCCGATTTTTATATGCATTTATTTGTGTGACAGCCAATGCAATTTCGTGTGTCATTTCACTTAAGTTCCACTCAGAAGACATACAGCTCTTCCATTACAAGACAACTCCCACTGGCAGTCATGTCCAACTCAACCCTTCCCCTTCCACCTGTGTTTTCGCTAACTTTCAGCACTATGCTGTCCTTGAGTGGTGAGAACAGAGGTCCTTTGTCTTGGTCCCTCAACCTTAGGGGAAAAGGTGAAATCTTCCACTGTTAAGGTTGATGACTGTTGCTTGCCTTTGAGTAAGGCTCTCGCTGTGTAACCCAGGCTGGCTGACCCTGAACTTGCTATCCTCCTGCCTCTGCTTAACCACTTCAGTGACCACTTACAGATGTGATGATTCACTCCATTGGACCTAATACACATAGTGTATACATACATATGTGTGTATGTGTGTACACAATAAATCTGAGCTCCTCTGAATGTATTTTCTGTCTTTGCAAACAGGTACTTTGTGTGTTTGTGTGCTGGTCCTGGGGCTTGAACTTTGGGCTTAGGGGGCTGGGAAGGTGGCTTGGTGGTTTAGTGCTTGCCTTGCATGCATGAGGTTCTGGGTTCCATTCCTCAGCACCATAGAAGCAAAAAAAGCTGCAAGTGGCACTATGGCTCAAATGGTAAGAGCACTAGACTTGAGCTGAAGAGCTGAGGGACAGCGCCCAGGTCCAGGCCTCACACTCAACAAAAAGGAAAAAAAAAAAAAAAAGAAGTTAGGGTTTAGGCACTATCCCTGAGTTCTTTTGCTCAAGACTTGAGCTCTACCACTTAAACAGCTCCACTTTCACCTTTGCGGTAATTGCAGGTTAAGAGTCTCATGGACTTTCCTGTGCCTTTGAACTGTGCTCCTCAGATCTCTGCCTCCTGAGTATCTAGGATTACAGGTGCGAGCCACTGGCGCCAGGCACAATCAGATAGCTCTTGAGAACCTCCAATAAAAGACAATTGTTCTTTTACCTAACGTGAACTATTTAAGCCTCAATCATTTGTTATGTGAGTCCCACTGCGCCCGCTGTCAGGTATCCCAGGTTTCCTAGGGCCAGCTCAAAGGCTACCTACTTCTAATAAGGTGTCATGAGGCTGTGTTCCTCCGCACAAGTAATTCTAGCAACTGGGGAAGGAAGAGGTTGAAAGAATTGGGGTTCAAGGCCCAACCCAGGCAACAGTTACTAAAACTCCATCTGAACCAATAAGCTGGATATGGTGGTGGACGCCTGTAATCCTTAGCTGTATCACAGTTGTAGGTAGGGCTGGACTAGGTAAAAACATGAATCCTACATTAAAAAACTATAAGCATAAAGGATTGAAGGCATGGTTCTAGTAATAAGTTGAGTACAAGCTCTACCATTGCATAGGTGATAAGAGTCTCATGATTCATAACTCTTACTACTTCAACTACCTAACTAGATGGTAAGGTGCTTCAAGTCCAAGACAAAATTTCCAGTTTCTTGAAAGATACTGGCAAGTGGCAAGTATGCCAAATAAGAATTTGTACAGTCTACCTACATAGTATTTAGCAGATAAAGGAGATCAGTGGATTTGTCAATTTTTTTCCATCAACACAGTGTGAACTACAATGAACTTGTTCTGAAACAAAAAAAGTCTTCACTGGTCCCTAGCAAAGCACCGTGTAAGTTGAGCCCAGAAGTACATGACTATGGGCTGGGAAATGTGGCCTAGTGGTAAGAGTACTTGCCTAGCATGCATGAAGCCCTGGGTTGGATTCCTCAGTAATACATACACAGAACAAGCCAGAAATGGCATTGTGGCTCAAGTAGTAGAGCACTAGCTTTAAGCGGAAGAGCTGAGGGACAGTGCCCAGGATGAGTTCAAGCCCTACAACCGACCACCCCTCTTCCCCCCAAAAAGAAGTACATGACTATAATCTAGCATCTTAGGAGTCTGAAGGAGGAGGATGGTGAGTTCTGAGACCAACCAGGGCAACTTAGAGAGACCCTGTCATAACAAAATGGGTTTGGGATATAGTACAGTGGGGTAAAGCCCTTGCCTAGCATATGTGATTCCCAGTATTCCAAAGAGGGATTCATCAACAATCACCACCAAAAGATCTTTACCCATTATTGCATAGAGTATACGATCTGGCGAACAAGACCCTGTCCACAAGTAGCTTACAGTTTTGCCGCAGCATGAAGCATGTAACAGCACAGGACACCTGAATGCTTACGATCCTGAAGTCCTAAGAAACAGCAGAAATGGAAGCTTCTCCATCTCCATTGAAAAGAAATGAACCTGCCTGCCTTTGAGAGTCTTACACCCCTCACTACTTACCTAGAAAAGCACTTTCCTTATTTTTTTTGGGGGGGGGGGTGGGGAGAGGGGGAAGGAGCAAAACATTTCATAAAAATAGACTGAGAGGAAAGGAGATAACAGGTTCCAGGAAAAGAATTAAAAAATAAACACGTTTTAAATCCCCAGTAAAGAAGCTTGTGAATCATGGTCCTTTGTGCTCAAATTCGACCGAGAACAAGCAGCTTTTTCAGACCACCAACAATGCCAAGGGGTGGCGGTGGGGGATGGTGAGGGGGAAGGAGAGAAAGAGGCCAGGAAAAGACACAGAAGGCAGTCACAAAGACCACAGCATTTAGCGGTTTATTAGGTTGCAACTCTCTCCTCTGTCTGCTTTCCCCTTTCTTCTCTCCTTTTCTCTACAAATCCTCTTCCAAAGGCCCAGAAAGAGAAAACTAGCGGCCAGATTGGGTCAAACAAAAAGAATAGGAAACGAATAATAACTAGCCAGCTCTA